CCCAAAATGAACGAAAATCGTTTAACCACGAGGGTTTTTAAAACATGCCACACCTGACTACTTAGGAGCACTGACCTTTTCCCCGTTAGTGTGTCAAATTAAAAAATGACAACAACTAACAACACAACAATAGCCATTTGGTGTGAACGGATCAAAATTATACCTATTTTTTTTTTTTTTTGGTCAGATCGGCAAAAAAAATAACATATTTTCTGTTGGGCTGCAGAATATTAGTAAGTAGCTTATGGGTGCCGTGAGATGAAAAATGTTGAATATCGCTGGCAGAGAGATATAAAAGGAAGCCATAGAGGTAGATGAGGTGGTGAGAAGCATGTGGTGAGGAGTCAGGGCTGAGAACAGAGCCCTGGGAGAGAAGGTGGGAGAGACGGGCAGGAGGAAGAGCAGCAGAGCTATAGCAACACTTTCCCCAGGATCTTAAAATCCCAAGTGCTGCCCAGAGGCCAGTAGGAGGAAGTTTGAAAAAGCGTCCATTGGATTCCGCAGTCAGTCCTTCACTGGGACCCTCACCGGAGACCATGGTGGAGCGGTCCTGTGTGGGTAACCCAGATTTCAGTGACTGAAGCAAGTATGGGAGGTAAAGAAGAGGCTACAATCCATATGGACCTTTTCATACATATTTGGTGTGCAGTTAGAATCTAGTAAAGTCTCCCTCAGCATCTGCAGGGTATCAGGTCCAGGCCCCTGCGGACACCCACATCCGAGGATGTTCAAGTCCCTTATATAAAGTGGCATAGTATCTGCATATAACCTACGTATACCCTCGCTTGTTATATACATTTCGGCTTTAAAAACGTACTAATGTCTTTTCAGCTGTAAGCATGAAAATACCCAATAAGGGGGACTTACACAATAGAGACCCTCCCATTCAAAGTGTGAGCGCGTGAACACACACACACACACACACACACACACACACACACGATATATAATAAGCAGCCCAGACGTGGGTGGTTCACAGGCTTAGACTCTCGTTGGCTTCTCTGGGGATGCTTTTGGCTGCTCTTCGTGGTCAGAAGATGATAAAGCCTCTCCAAACACCCTGGCCTCACAGGGCAGCCTCCAGAGGGATAGCGCTTCTCACGTGCCTCTCTTCCTGTCATCAGGAAGCAAACCTTCCTGAAAGCTCCCCACAGGGATGCCCTAGTGACTCCCCGGCTATAAAACTCACACCCCACCCTCAGCTGCCAGGAAATTTCAGCCAGTGAACATCTGGAATTTCCCCTTCTTTATACTGGGAGATAGATTCTTCTTCCAAGGAAGCAGGGGAAGAGAAAGATGGCTATATAGACAACCAAGAAAGTATGGAGAAAGCTTTTAACTTTTTTTTTTTTTTTAAAGCAATCTTTATTGTTCATATTATTACAAAGGTTCCTCATTTCTTCCCCCCTCCACCAGGTTCCCACCCCACCCTCCGTCCCCCCCCCCATCCCCCATTGTCCTCATCCATAGGTGCAGTTTATGTTCAGTCTCTTCTTCCCTCAATTTCCCCAATAGTAAATCCCTTTTGAGATAGTAAATCAGTTACTTAGCATTTTCTCATATCAATAATACCTCCACATGCCCAATGATACACTTCACCCAAAAGACATTTCCCACTAGGTCAACCAGCCTCATCCAGGCCCCACCCAAGGCACTCACAGATCAACACCCCAGTCCTAAACTAACTCAACACATCCAGATCTAAGCCTTCATCACTTGATTCAGCAGACCCTCAAGTTCCCACGAAAGTTTCCAGCCATGTCTGAGAAGCAGCCGTGGGGCAGGGGCAGGCAAGGAGCGAGCTGTTCTGGGCCTGGCTGCTCAGGGCCTGGCCTCTGTTGCTCTGGTTCATTCCACAACCAGCTGCTCCGGGTCTGGTCACTGCCGCTCCCAACCTAGTTGCTCTGGACTTGGCTGCTGCTGCTCCGGCCCTGGCCGCTCCCAGCCTGGCAGCCGCTGCTCCGGGCCTGGCCGCACCCGACCCGGCTGCTCCCCCGGGCCTGGCCGCTCCCAGCCTGGCAGCCGCTGCTCCGGGCCTGGCCGCACCAGCCCCGCCTGCTCCCCCGGGCCTGGCCGCTCCCAGCCTGGCAGCCGCTGCTCCGGGCCTGGCCGCACCCGACCCGCCTCTAAGCTAAAAGTTTTAAGACCTGACGATAAAAATGGTTAGAACTCCGGGTGGGAGGGAGCCGACCGCGTCCCTCCGAACAGCAGAGCCTTGCCGTCTCCTCGTAGTCGGGCAGCTCCTCTCTGCTGAGGGTGACGATGTCCATCCAGGAGTAGTGTCTCTCCTTCCGGATCTTCTCCAGCTCGGGGTCACTCTCGTGTCTGTCAGGATCCAGCTTCCAGTACAGGATCCCGAGGCGGCGCAGCTGCTCCAGGCCCACCGGGCGGGCGGGCTCGGCGCGGTTTGGGCGGCGGGGGTCGGCGGCGGAGTCGTCCAGGTACCAGGCCTGCACCATGGCGGCGGCGGCGGCGGCGCGGCGCGGCACGGCGCGGGAGTCGAGAAAGCTTTTAACTTAAACAAACAAACAAACAAACAAAAAACACAGTTGAAACTGAGCATGCTTAAATGCTTTCTGTAGGAAAATATATAATCATAATAGTGTGACCCCTGAAATTGTGGGTTGCAATGGGGTGTGAAACATGAGAGATGGACAGGCATCTCTCTCATTCTAATTGGAGGGCAGGAGGAATGAATGAGGGTGGAAGTAGGTGAATGTGTAGGTTTGTTGGGAGGTGAGGGAATTCCCATTTGAAGGCTTCCCTTTCTTCCCCGTGAAGTCGGTGACTGAGTCACCTGAGGAGGGGAAGGGAGTGTTGCCCAAGCAACAGAGGATTTCTAGCTGGGTTTAAGGCGCGGCTGAGGGTGGCTGCCCTGAATTTAAAATTAATCAGGAGTGTGAATGGTTTTCCCCCTCCAGCTGCACTAGACACCTGGTCACAAGAGTTGAGAAGACAGATGAATATCTCAGGGGACTTTCTTCACAAGTGTGATAGAATAAATGAAACAGGGAAAAGGATATTATATATGAAGTTAGATATTCTAGTTTCATTTATTGTTATCAGTCTTCCTTTCTTACATAAAAAGCTCAAAAGAAGCTAGATAACTTGCCCAAGACCACATAGCCTGTGGAATTGAAGTTCTATGGTTGCCTATCTTCAAAGTGTTTGTCCTCTTAAGTATTTGTGAATGAATGTTGCTGAATCTGAGTAAAAGGAAGTTATCTGTTGGGCCAATGAACTTTCTAACAGAACTGGGTAAACAATTCTGGGTAAAAAGTCCTGTTATAACAAAAGTGTCCTGAACAGAGAGGCCATTTATAAAATACATAACTGGTAGATATGCACAAGACCTGATTCTAGTCAGTATAGTGACTTCCAAACCTCCGGCCAGGGGTCCATTTGTCCTCATCCCTTGTTCTAAAGGGTGAAGGGACCACCTGGAATCTTTTCTTGGACTCTCGATGCCAACATGGGCCCTCCGTGCACACATATATCCATAGAGCTTTCTTCAGCCTGGGAGTTGGTGTGTCCAGGGACACCAGCCTGTCTGTGTTGGTGTCGTATTCTTATAAACGACCCACGTGCCCAGCGATGCTATGTTGCTTGCCTAGAAGTGTATCCACCTCCGGTTCTCTGTTCTCTGTGAAGTGAAGAGGTTGACAGGCACACGTTCCCTGAGGCTGCAAACACGCTTAGTCAGCATCTGCTCTGCTGGATGAGTAGACTAAGTCCGAGTGCCCCGCACTCATCACTTCCCCGACTGTTTCTATGAGCCGCACAGGACCCCTATCACAGGCCAAACCAGACATCCAAACCCTCAACCACATGTATCTAGGACCCCACTCCGTCCTATTGTGCAAACACGGGGGTGGCTGTGTGTTTCCGATGCTTTTGGCCAAATGCACAGCCCGCTTCAGGGCCTTTCTGTGCTCGGGCGGCGGCTCGCGCAGACGCCAAGGACCTGGAGGCTCCGAACCGTCCCGCGGGCTCAACGGGCCGCTCCGAACCAACGCTCCGCCGGCGGCGCCCGGCGCGCGGATTGGCGGCCGCGGCCGTGACGTGGGCGGGCGGGGCGGGCCGAGGCGGTTTGCGACAGCGGCGCGGGGTCCCGGCCCGAGGCTCCGAGCGCACCGCAGCGCGGCTCCCGGACCCGACCGGCCCGGACCGGCCCGGCCCGAGCGCCCGCTCCCCGCCGGCCCGAGCGCTCTCGGCCCCAGCCCCGCGCGGTGTGGACGCGGGACCCGCGGCCCCGGCGCGGCCGGCGCTCTCCGGCGGGCGGGCGGCCCAGAGCCCAGAGCTCCGCGGAGCCTCCCGCGGGGCGGGCGCGGGTTCCCGGAAAGGGCGGCCGGTCGGCCGGTCGGCGCGGGGCGGCGGCGGCGGGACTCCCCGCCCGGAGCGCGAGGAGAGCGGCGGCAGGTAACGCAGCCGCCGCGGGGTCCGAGGGGCCGGCCTGCGCCCGCCGCGCTGCGGGCGGCTCCGCGGAGCTCCGGGCTCTGCTCGCCCCCAACTTCCCTGGTCCCGCCGCCGGGAGCGGTGCGGGGAGGAGGGCGCCGGGCTCCTAACGAATCCTCCCGGAAAACTTTGGTGTGAATTTAAAATTAATTCGCGCCCGCGGGGTGGGGGTGCGGGTGCGGGTGCGGGTGCGGAGCCGGGCGGGGAGCGGAGCCCGGCGGCCCGAGCCCGGCCGGCCGGCGCGGCGCCGAGATTTGGGGAAGTGGCGCCCCCCCGCGGGGGGCGGGGAGCGGGGAGACGGGGGCGCCCCGCGGGGAGGCGCCCCAAGGTGTCCCTCTCGCTTCCCCCGGCAGCTGCGGGCGATGCGGCGGCGCCGCCCGGCCCCCCGCGCCTGAGCGCCCGCCGCCGGGACCCCCGGGCGCCCGGGCCCGGCGATGCGCGCCCCCCGCTGAGCCGGCGGCGCGGGAGCCGGACCGGAGCCTTCGCGGCGGGCATGCCGGCTCGGCGCCGCGTGTGACTCTGGGGGACAGAGAAGGAGCCCCAACATGGAGGACTTTTCTACCAGGACCTACGGCACCAGCGGGCTGGACAACCGGCCGCTGTTCGGAGAGACGTCGGCCAGGGTGAGCGCGGGCGGGGCTCCGGGCCCGGGGCTGGGGGTCTGTCTGTGTGTCTGTGTGTCTGTGTGTCTGTCCGTCTGTCCAGGCGGCGTCCCGGCGCGGCCCCCGGGGGCGCTGGGAGGCAGAAAGCCGGCTCCCCCCGCCGCTCCCCTCCGGGGTGTTTGCCCCGCCGCTCGGCTCCCTCTCGGGGGCGGGGTGGCCCGGCGCCCTGGCGGCGGGAAAGTTGGCCAAGTCCTGGCTGCTGGGGCCCTGGAGTAGCGGGCGGGGGCGGGGGCGGGAGGTGTTTGCACACCCGCCGGGGAGCCGGCCTCGGAGAGGCTTCCGGACCGGGGCCCCCTCCCCTCCCCTCCCCGGAGGTGCTTCTCTGATCGCTGTTTCCAGGCCCTTAACGGTCCGCCGCCGCCGCCGCTGCGCGAGAAGTGAGAGTTTCTGGTTGACTTTTCCTCGCAGGAAGCGGTCAAGGGTCTCCGGACCCACCCAGGCCCCGTGGTTATACGTTATTTCAGGCTTTTCCCGAATCTGTTTTTCTCACAAGCCGCATCCTGGGCTGTCCTGGGCCAGGCCAGGAAGAGAGCGCCCTGTCCCGGCCTCGGCGTTCTTGTTCGGAGTGGTTTGGGACAGAGGAGCTTGTTTTTGTGGTGGTGGTGGTGGTGGTGGTGGTTTCACCTGGAAAGTGGCACGGGCGGCCTTGGATCCCTGATTGTTCTCAGGCTCTCAAAAAGTCATGTGCATGGGAATCCACGTCCTCTTGGGTTTCTCAGCCTGGGCAGGGACAGGATAGGGACCAAAGTCTGGGACGGGGGCCCGAATCTGGAAGCTGCCAGCCTGCTACAAGGCGACCACTTTATTTATTAACTTATTTAGTTAGTTTTTAAGTTGATAATCTTTTCATTTTATTTTATTTTTTAATTACTTTATTGATTAAGGTATCACATATTTGTCATCATTCCCCCATTCCCATCCCAAACCCCTCCCCGGAGAAGTGCCCCCACCCCCCTGTTGTCGGTGACCACTGGTTAGGCTCATATGCATGCACACAAGTCCTTTGGTTGATCTCTCTCCCTTATCCCCATTCTCCCTTACCTTCCCTCTGAGTCTGATCGATGATGACCACTTGATTAAAAAAAAAAAAAAAAAAAAAAAAAACTCCACGTGGATTTTATTTTCTCTTAAAGTGTCTTAAGGAAAAAGTGTTTTAAGCCTGAAGTCGAGGAAGATGCTCCTTGTTTGTCTTGTGGCTTTGCATGATCGCAGGCCGCGGCGCACCTGGCTTGAGAAGTATGGCTCCAGTCCAGTAGAAGTTTCTCTCTCTGCTCGAGTTGTTGAGCTTTGTGTGCCAGGCCCCGGGGTCCAAGGAACCCAGGGAGATGGAGGAGACATGTGTGAACAGTGTGATACCGTTAGGTGTGTGCTATGGATGGGGCATAGAGGGCTCAGAGAGAAGCTGGTCACTTTTATTTGGGAAGCGTGGGGGAGACCCTAGGATAGCTTCTCCAGTCAGTGTCTGGTAGTCATGAGCTTTAGATATGAATGCCTCTAAACGAGTTTGAAGAGGATTTGGAGCCTGGAGAATGGAGGCAGCTTGTTGCTTGAAGGGATCAGACAAAAAGCATCTGGCTGCCCAGCAGTTTCGACAACTGAGAGGTTCACCGTTTCTCCATGGGCCTGGGCACACAGATTGGGGTTCTGAGGAATGCAGGTTCTGACCTCATTTAGCCCCATAGCCCTGGGCACTGAAGTAGATGACTTGGTTGGTAATTGACTTGTTGATTATTTATCCTCATCCGAGGATATTTTTTCCCATTGATTTTTTAGGGAGAGTGGAAGATAGGCAAAGACAGAGAGAAATATCAATGCGAGAGAAATGCATCGATTGATTGCCTCCTGCATGAGCCTGGACCAGGGCCCTGACCCGGGAGGAGCCTGCAACCGAGGTGCTTCACAGTGACACTTAATATTCGTGAACTACTACTTTTGATGAGAAAAATCTAGAAAGGGGAAATCCCACTTCTTATAGTGTGACAGATCTTCTGACTTCTTATATTTACCTTATAACAACTGACCAGACATACAGCCTCTCAATTCCATTATTTTAAGATTTATTTTTTAATTAGTTTACATATGATGTTGTTCTGTATTAGTTTCAGATGTACAGCAAAGTGGTTAGAAAATCCTATACTGTGCAGAATGGTCCCCCAGCCTGGCCCCACACCTATTGATCTAGGTGTTATTGACTGTGTTCCTTAGGTTGTAATCTATGTCTCTGTGGCTGTTCTGCAACTACCAATTTGTACTGCTTAATCCCTCAGTTTTACATCTAGAAAGGACTAGACCTTAACTTTTAGGCAAAGATACTAAAGCCCAGAGTAGAGTAGTCTAGAGGGAAACTGTTCCTGCTTAGTGCCAGCATCTGCTAGGATTCAGCTTTCTTCCTTTTGGTCCTCAGATTCCTTGGTAAGATGTGTGTTGTTGTTAGAACCAAGGAAGCTGAACCACAAAGCAGGTTACCTTTTTCAGTCACACAACTAACTCTGGTTAGATTTACCAATGCCCTTTCATGAGTTGACTGGTATAATACTTCAAAAGCACGGTGGACATTCACTGACCTACTACCCTTTCACAGGAAATCGGTGAAGTGGCCACCCACGGTCACGGAGTGAGTGAAAGGGAGTGAGAGCTACTAGGGCCATGGTCGGCAAACTGCAGCTCGCGAGCCACATTCGACTCTTTGGCCCCTTGAGTGTGGCTCTTCCACAAAATACCACGGTCTGGGCGAGTCTATTTTGAAGAAGTGACGTTAGAAGAAGTTTAAGTTTAAAAAACTTGGCTCTCAAAAGAAATTTCAATCGTCGTACTGTTGTTATTTGGCTCTGTTGCCTAATGAGTTTGCTGACCACTGTACTAGGGAATAATAAATATATAACCATGGGGCCCTGAGCAGCGCCCTTCTGGGCAGTGCCTGAGGGAACTTCTGTCTTCCTCTGTACTGGCTGCGCAGTGATTTAAGGCACTGAATTCCAACTGTATTCACTCTTTAGCATGATATTTAGGAATAGCTTTACAGATAGAGTCATGGAATGAAAGGCAAAAGTAGCTGGTTCTCTATTATTACATAACTACCTAAGGGATAAGACAAGGGGGGAAAGCTGTTCAGTTTTTCTAAGAAGTAATTCCCTCATTTCTTGATACCTTTGGGATTACATAATACTAAATGGGCTATCTTATACATCCTGGTCAGAATGTCTCAATGCTTTTTTTGCCTTTTGTATCTGTTCCAAGTTCTGGGATAGATAACCTCTCTTTTAGAAAAAAGCAAACCTGGCACAAATGCCATGGCAATCCAGGATATCTGAGGTTCTTAATGTGCTGCAGCTTCGCATTTTCTAAAGAAGCACTATCCAGTACGTGTGAGCCACGTACCTGATTTTATATGTCTCAGTAGCCATATTAAAAAGTATAAACAGCCCTAGCCAATTTGGCTCACTGGATAGAACGTCAGCCTGCAGACTGAAAGGTCCCAGGTTCAATTCCAATCAAGGGCACATGCCCAAGTTGCCGGCTCTATCCCCCCAGTAGGGGATGTGTAGGACGCAGCCAATTAACGATTCATCATTGATGTTTCTTACTAATGTTTCTATCCCTCCCTTCCTCTCTGAAGTCAATAAAAATATATATTTTTAAAAAGTAAGTGGTTAAGAGCATCGGCCTATGCACAAAAGGGTCACTGGCTCAATTCCCAGGAAAGGGCATGTTCCTCGGTTGCAGGTTTGATCCCAGGTCTGGTTGGGGAGTGTGCAGGAGGCAACTGATCCATGTGTTTCTCCTATATTGATGTTCCCCCACCCTCCTCCCCTCTCTAAAAATCAATGGAGGATTAACAGCAACAAACATTTTTTAAAGTATAAACAGATGAAATTAGTTTTAAATCTATACATCCAAAAGATTTTAATATTTAATCAAAATACAGTTGTTTTATTATATAATCAATATAAATGGAAATATGTAGTTTTACAATTTTTTTATACAACTCCAGTGCGTGTTTTTCACTTACAGCCTGTCGCAGTGTAGACCGGCCACATTTCAGTGCTCAGAGTAGTCAGAGTACTATTGTATTGGACAGCCCAGTCTTAAATCAAGTGAATTATTAGTTAGGGTGGCTCCATAGTCTGTGGGACTTCTCAGAAAATGTTAAAGTGCTAATTTTCATTGGGACTCTAGTTGGAGAATAGTGCTTTTTGTACTGTTTTGGTGGCCAAATCTTTTAGCACTGGCACAATGCCCTACCCAATTCTCATCTCCCCCTCCTCCTTCCCAGGAGTATTCAAGGGACACTTTCTAGGGTTTGAAAGTATTACTCAAGGAACCTCCATCCCCTGCTCCTCCTTTCTCTCCCCTAGTGTGAACTAAAACCTGGAGGTGTTCCCCCCTCTGTTGGCCAAGGCTACCTTTAGAAGTTGCTTTAGGACGGTACATCCTTGGGGTAATCTTTCTTTTTTTTTTTTTTTTAAATCAATCTTTATTGTTCATATTATTACAAAGGTTCCTCATTTCTTCCCCCCTCCACCAGGTGCCCACCCCACCCTCTGCCCCCTCCCATCCCCCATTGTCCTCATCCATAGGTGCAGTTTATGTTCAGTCTCTTCTTCCCTCAATTTCCCCAATAGTAAATCCCTTTTGAGATAGTAAATCAGTTACTTAGCATTTTCTCATATCAATAATACCTCCACATGCCCAATGATACACTTCACACAAAAGACATTTCCCAATAGGTCCACCAGCCTCATCCAGGCCCCACCCAAGGCACTCACAGATCAACACCCCAGTCCTAAACTAACTCAACACATCCAGATCTAAGCCTTCATCACTTGATTCAGCAGACCCTCAAGTTCCCACGAAAGTTTCCAGCCATGTCTGAGAAGCAGCCGTGGGGCAGGGGCAGGCAAGGAGCGAGCTGTTCTGGGCCTGGCTGCTCAGGGCCTGGCCTCTGTTGCTCTGGTTCATTC